TGAAAAAATCTAATAGTCATTAGCCACGTGTTCCAACTAGTAGCAATCTTGTTTTCCACTCCTCAATCTCTTCTACCATGTTTTTGGCTTCATAAATAACCATAATGATTTGATCAAGCAGATATTCCAATTGGTCATGCTTTTTCATGTATGTATTTTTTGCTTGGTCACATTCTTTAGTCATAGCCCCCATTTGTGTTCTAATTTCAACAACAGCCCCATTCAGCATTTAGATATGGTTTTCTGCATTAGAGAGTGCATTTTCACTTTTTTGCACCTTTCTTTACAACTTTCTTTTTCTTTTAGAAGTTAGGCCAACTCACGAATGGTGGATGATTGTGTTATGTTAAGGTAAAAAAACATACTTTTCCAATTATCCCTTTCTTGTTTTAGTGCTTCAACTTCCCTTTTTAGCCTTTTCTTTGCAAGCTTCAACTCTTTAAACTTCTTTTTTTGGCTTGTAAGGGACTTTGCTAGGCTCCCTATAGATGTAATGAAGATTCTTTTTATTAAAATTATTTTGTGGCAGTCACTCTTTATGATAAATCTAATCATGTAAATGCATGCACATACAGTAAAAGAAAAGTTTTAGTAAACATAATATATACAAGAGAAAAAAATACAATTTAACAAATAGAATAATAATAAATGTCTCATCATGTGTCTTATTTAGGATTTTTTAACAAAAAGGGAAGACATGGCTTTAACTTAAGTTTGGCTCGTTAGGGTTTATTTACATATTAGGTTCAAAGGTTTAACAGTCTAAAGGCTCCTAAATTATTCCTTACATCATTGTCCATTACATAATAGTAAGGCACGCTAATCCTCACCACCATTATAAGCTCAAACGAAAAGAGGTTTAATTTAAGTGAGAGTTTTTGCTAGCTCACATAGAGGTCTCACCTTACGAGAATGTAGGTACTTGTTTTCCCCTAAGAAAGGAAAGAGCTCAGGTCTAGAGTTTATGCTTAATGCATATGTGGTGTGTTTGAGGAACCATGCCAATTTAAATAATCAAATAAAATAGTGCACATGAAAAATCAAAATATACAAAATAAACAAAAAAATCATAAGCTACAAAAATAAACAAATCGGTTAGTGCACATGAATAATCAAAAAATAAAACCATCAAAGCAAGGCTTAAGAAAACATATAACTAACTAATGGCTTGACTCTTTAATCTCTTCAATGGAGTTGCCAAACTATCATAATGTTTAGATTGGAGAACCTACCCATTAAACATAAAAAATATGGAGTTACCACCAATTTTTTTTAATTTATGTTTGATTAGCCACCTATATGAATCTATCCTTTTTAAGGTTATCCTAAGCTAAAACTAAGGGTTCTTAAAAAGAATATATTATGGTCTACATCAACAAACTAAGTTTAGGAGTCGATTACATACAAGGAAAGTTTTAGCACTCCATTACGCCCAAATTTGGTACTAAATTAATCACATGTTATATTGTTTAAGCCTTAATAAAAAATAGTGTTTTTATTAATTTTGACATTTTAATATTGGATAAAAGTCTTTAGGCTTTCACCAAAAAAGAAAATTTCCTTACTTCAAGAGTATTTAAGATAAACTTATTGTTTACTTTAAGAGACTTCGTCATCGGATTTATTAAATATCTTATGACAAAAACAATTTAGTTACATCTTTTTTATTTATTTACAAAAATTAATTACAAAGAATGATACAAACATATTTACAAGTTCTAATCATAAAATAATATGTTTACACTTTTCTAAAAAATATAATTCAATTTTTATTTACATAAATTAATAAGTGAAAAAAATAAAACCTAAATAAAAAATAAATACTGAACAAATAAATGAACTCTTTAAAAGCTTTTGTTTTTCATTCATCAATTCATAAAAAAAAAAATATTCAAAATAATATTTTTTAAAAAAAAATTCATTTTTTCTTTGAGAGGTTTTAAAATCTATTTTAAATTTTTCATTTTTTTTCCAAATATTTTTTGCATTCATCAAAAAATCATTTTCAACATTCAATTTTGAAATCATTTTCTCGTATTTCATTTTCATTCACTAAAATTCCATAACCAACTCATCAAATGTATCTTGCATTTCATCAAAAGTATATAAATTTGAATCAGTTAAGTTAGAGGTTACCTGTGGCTCTTCAAGAGCCATGAGACATGATGCATTTTAGTTGAAAATTTTATTTTCATTTTGCTCATCCAACTTTCTCCATATTTCATTTAAAGTGGAGCAATTTGAGACCAAGTTGAAGTTATGAAAGTCAAGAGCTCCATAGAGAAAACATCCCTTCTTGAGGGGATCGATCTAGTCCATCTAGGTGAATGTTTCATGTTTTGCACTCTACTCACTAATTTGATCATATCTTGAGTTATATAAATCTAAATCACAAACCGTTGGAAGATTTAGAAACTAAACTTAAATAGTTTTCTATTTAATAAAATTCATCACCTAATTCATTGTATATAAATTATAATAAATTTTCAAAACTACCCTTTGTGCAATATTTAGATAACTACAAAATGTCTAGTAAAAATTTAAAATCTTTTCTTAAAAAATTTGGATTTTAATTTTGTTTGATCCATTAGAAAGTAGATTCAAAGAGCTTTTCAAATATATAAAATTCAAATATTAAAGTTTTATGAATTATTACAGAAAAATAAAAAAATTTCAATGTTGGAAAACTTTATTCTTGTAAAACAACTTTCTTAAGTTAATCTATTTCTCAAAACCAATATTATCAAATTGTATTTAATCCAAAATGAATAAGTTCACTTTAAAAACAACAATTGGACTTTCATTTAAGCTCAAATAAATAGTCTTTACAGATATATTTGGTTTGAGAAATATGAAAACAAAGAAATGTTTGTTTACACTATGAAAAACATATTATTTATTTAGTACCAAAATATAAAACTTAAGAACATATACTAAATAAATCTTTTTCAAAATCTTAATCAAGCTTATTTAGCTTAATGTTTTATCACTTCAAAATAAAGATTAATTCAAGGCTAACAAGTTTAATAGGTTAGTTTCTGAATTGCTGGTGATTTTTGTTGATGAGTTGAAGATGAAGAGAAGGCTTTAATTTTGTTGTCATCTTAGCCCAAGTCTTATAGACCTTTAGTTCAGACTTTGTTGGTAGGTAGATCTGCTTTTAAATAGATTATGTGACTGTCCTATTATGTGAGAATGAAAGGTTTATGGGAACACAGAAACTCATCACCTAGAGGGAATACGCTAGCTGTAGAGGGTTTTGATTAAGAAGGACTCAAAAGAGGATTGATGGATCAAGAGTAAGATCTAAGTTAAGAGACAGAGATTACAGTGATATAAAATATTATTATTGTGGTGAAAAGGGACATATCCAAGTATACTACAAAAAGTTGAGAAGGGATATGGTTGTTTTCAAAAAGGTGAATGATGAAAAAAAATCGGATGAAGGAAATAATGACACTGCTACTATTATGTCTGATGATGATAATATCATTTTGACGACTTGTATGATGAGACTCAAACTTTGAAAGGTGACAAAAGATAAGTTTTGGATTCAACTGCTACAGTCTATGTCTGCAATGATAGGAGTTCTTTTGTTGAGTTGGAATAGAATGAAAAGGATGAAGATATTATGGTTGCTAACAATGAAAATGTATAGATTCAAGACATTAAAAGTGTTCACCTTAGATCTCATAATAGTGTTGTTAGGATACTTCATCATGTAAGGTATATACTGAGGTGTAACTACAATTTATTGCTTTCGATGAGTTAGCTTGTCGGGGTACACATACTATGGTAGTAATGATTGGTTGAAAGTGTACAAGAATGGCAGTGTGATTTTATAAGGGAATAGGATCAAAAATCACTTATACATGCTTTGATGGAGGCTATGTTGTTGAGATTCCTGTGAAAAAGGAAAAGAAAAAAGACAAGTGTGTTAGCTTTACAGATATTGTTGAAGTATTAAGATATTTAAGTTAAGAGAAAATTTGTTAGGATTTGTCTTGAATATTATAATCACACATCAAAAGTTACGTGAAGTTATAAGAGCTTGAGTTTATCTTGTATCCCACTTCAATAAAGTTATAAGATATTTCACCCTTATAATAAAAGATGTTTTAGTTTTAGTTTTAGTTTGATAATCTCATATAATTAAGTACTAAGAGAATAGCTAAATGAATAGACTATTAGAATAGTGTCATTAGATTTTAAGTTAAATTTTAAGTAAAAAATTTTCGATAACTTTTCTCATTCTAAAAGTTTTACAATTATAAAAATTTATTTATTAATGGATTAAGCTTAAAATAAATTATTTTGAATTTGATCAAAATAAATATATTTATATATTTTTTCTTAATTTAAACTTATTATTTTAAGTGCAGAATGTTAAGTGTGTGTTTTGATTTTTCAACAATAATAATTAAATTTTCATTAATTTAATATAAATAAAAAAATAAAATTTTCATTTGTTGCAATTACTAAGCACGGGGTAGGCGCAATTGTTACCTTCGCCCCCTCCTTAAATTTGCCACATCAAGCAAACAAAATTTTCCCCCAGTATAATCCACTCATCAGAGAAAGTGTATACACGTTCTTAAGCAGTGTCACCACGCGCATGCTGCTTTGAATTGTCATTGGTCGGTGAACATCACGCTAAGCTTTTGTATCTGAAGCAAACTTTAAACTCTTTCCTTCAGGAGATTACCGTAAAGAAGTCTGAAAGAAAATCATAAGGTTGCAGCTTCTGGCCTTACAAGTTTTCCGTTCAACTAGAGCGAGCTTATCCACCGTTGGATGTTTCTTGTCTAAAGATATGTAATAACATCTGATGCTAACGAGCGGTCCAAAATCATGTAATGAAAAAAGCTTGCAAAAATAAGCAAATCCACGTGCAATATATGTACTGTAAATGTTTTATTTGTTTTATTTTTCTTTTTTTTTTGGCTAAAAAAAGAACTAACTGGTTTTATGTTAAAAGGTAAAGAGACCGAGAAGAGATAAACAATAAATAAATATATAATATTATATAAGGAAAGAGAAAGGGTTTCCACCATTTTCTCCATTGAGGCTGAATAGGTTCACAAACACCAATAAGAGAAAACGCTAGCTCCTGGAACTGAACCGAAAGCAGATGCAACCGACTCCTGGCGGCAGCAGCAGCTCTACTGGTGACGCTGGTGGTGGTGGTGAAGTGAGTCGAGGTGGACTCGCCCGCTTCCGCTCCGCTCCAGCCACCTGGTTAGAAGCCCTTCTTGAGGAAGAAGAAGAGGACCCTTTAAAGCCTAACCAGTGCTTGACTCAACTACTCACTGACAATTCAACAACACCCACCACTCGAAATTCTGTGCCTTTTCCTAACTCAGCGGATCCCGCTGGGTTGTTTGAACCTGCCTGTTTTCACAGGCAAAACAGTTCTCCTGCTGATTTTCTTGGGAATAATTCTGCTTCTGCCTCTGATGCCTACTTCTCTAACTTTGGAGTTCCAGCAAATTATGACTATTTATCGCCAACTGCCGATGTCTCTCCCTCGAGTAAGCGGGCTAGAGAACTTGATACGCAACACCCACCAACAAAGTTTCAGTCTCAGTTGGTAAGAGATTGCTATACTTTGTGAACTTGGAAGGGTTGTTGGTTTGCTTTTTCCCCATTTTATAATTTTCTTTTTCTATAATATGGTTTGTGAACTTATTTATGTTTCTGCCGTTTTTGAATTGCCTGTAAAAGGAATGGTATTGGTCTTGTTATTATAATCATTAAAGTCTACTTTTAATGGTACTGGAGTTTTAGGCTTTAAAATTTGTTATCAAAGCGGACCAACTAACAGGCATACATTTCTAGCCAAAAGCGGAAGGTCTAAAATTACTCCATCAAGCAAAATTATAGTATATGCTTGAGAGTTTCAATTGTTAGATTTTTGCATTACAATACCATTTTTTTCTTGAAAATTTTTGGGTAGAAAGGAGAGCAAAGTGGTCAGATTTCTAGCGGGTTATACAATTTGATAGATGGGGATATGGAGAAACTTTTGGAGGATTCCGTACCTTGCAGGGTCCGTGCCAAGCGTGGCTGTGCTACTCATCCTCGAAGCATTGCAGAAAGGGTAAGTGTATTCATTTATGAGTTCATCTATTGATAAGACATAAAATAGTGTTTCTGTGGAGTTCTAACTATTCATAGCCAATTTCTGGTTAGGTTCGGAGAACGCGGATTAGTGACCGGATCAGAAAGCTTCAGGAGCTTGTACCCAACATGGATAAGGTAGGTTATTCTTGGTATCAAGTGTGATCAAGACATTCAGAGGTTCCTAGGAAGACAGATTCTTTAAATTTTCAGATATTAACCTGTATTAGTAATCGCATTCTAATAAGTTTGATGCAAAATCCATTGATCTCTCTCTGGAAGAGACATATATGAGAAGAACAACTATACAACACTAGGTAGCATGATCATTGTAGTAGTTTTGTGCATGCAATTGTAAACTTGTTAGCATGGCATTCAAAACTGTCTCTTTATATCTAGACTCTACTTCCCAGATTCATATTTAAGGAAAATTCTAGGGATTTTGAGGAAAATGCTAGTTCAATTTGGTGGATGTTGTTTTATTTCAACAGGCCCAAAAAACAGAACAGAAACATTATGTTTATTTGCTGCCTTAGATTTAGAGGGTGAGACAAGCTGCCCCAAGTATTCATGATGAGGTACAGGATTTTTACATTGATAATTTCTATGTAAGATGTTTAATGTACCACTGTGTATTATACCATTTGGAGCTTGACTGCCTTGTTTTAAAGGCTCGATCACTGTTAGAAGAGAGGTGTGTTTGATTTTTGTGGTCGAATAATAAGCTGTCTTTATATTAATAGAAAGATGTATATCAACTTCATTATGAGGGCAAAGATTTTTTTTTTTTTTTTTTTTTGTGGAGGAAAGGCATTTGAAAGATCTATATCCTAAATTAAAAATTAGAAACTGTGATATCTAAGGAATAAGGATTGATTACCTTGTTGTGGCCAGATCTTTAAGTCAATCACTTTGAGTTTATCTTTTGTTGGAAAACTTTTCCCCCTTTTTTGTTCCTTTTGACTATCCAAAAGTCATAGGCAATAAGAAATTGAGTTGTGTAGGATGCAATGATACTAGATAGCTATAAACTCTAATTTGAGTAAACATGTACTTAACATATTCTTGACTATCCTATAAATTTATGTTCAGTTCAAGTGATAATTTTATCATATATAATCTTCTTATGTAATCCATTTAAGTTTTTGGACCAAGAAAAGCTAGATGCATTACGTATTAGTTTGAGTTATGAAGAGGGAATTTCATTGGATTTTTTAGAACTAAGGATATTTACATTATATGAATTTTATGGTGAGTTCAAAATATTGATCTACGGAATGGATGTTTTATTCTACTTGATACAATACCTTAATAGAAACTTTATATATCTATGGATGTGGTTTATTCTCTGGTGTTACAAGGTTGAACTTAATAAGGTTTAAAGTCTATGAAGTTTTTTGTAAGAAGGTTTTTAAGCTTTTTTTTTTTTTTTTCTATCAAGATCATTGTTTCATTCTCCTTGTCTTCTTTTTTATTATGTAAGTGATGAGTGAAAAAAAGGCCTAGTTTGTTGTTGTTACTGTTGTGATTTTGGTGATGCCAGGAGATTGAGAGAGAATGGGAGCTTTCATAAAGAGGCTGAGTGCAAATAACATAATAAGTGGCGGCTGAGTCCTCCATTTGACTTGGATTAGTCAAGTTCTGGCATTATGAAAATATCCCAACTTATGAAAGTATATTGAGAACAGGGTTTAAGTAAAATGAATTCATGACCATATGATTTAAGCTTTTGGTCTAAGTGATGTACTAAGTTTTCTGTCAATATATGCTTAATCAAATGCTTGTCTATCCCAAATCATCCGAACAGTAAAAAAAAGCAATGATCTGATTTTTCTATAATGTCAATGTTACATGCATAATTTTTTTGAAGAATATTAGGATTGTATTTTACACTATTTGATTTGGCATTTTTCTTTCGTGTACATTGCAGCAAACCAACACGGCAGACATGCTAGAAGAGGCCGTAGAGTACGTTAAATATCTTCAGAGACAGATTCGGGTACTCGATTATTAACTTGTCTGAAAAATTATCTATTTGATATTCAGAGAGAAGTGGTCTAAATTTTTAGACATGCAACCTCCCTCTGCCCCCTCTCCTTTCCCTGATCTTATCCATTTTTTTTTTTTTTTAAATTTTTATTTGTACTTCTCTGCTAGTTATTAATATGTAGTAAAGTGAAAAAGAAGGTAATACTGTGGTATATGACTGGTACTGCCATAAAAGGAAAAAAATATTGCCTACTGAGAAACCTGGATCTTTGCAGGAACTCACAGAGCATCAAAGGGAATGCAAATGCAAAACTAAAGAGTGACTGGTACCTAAATATTGGCTACCTAGTGCTTAGTGTAATTATCAGCTTTATAACCGTCCTGTCAAAGTACATTATGGTTGTTTCTGATAAAGTTATCTCGTAGATCCAGTTGTTTCTGATAAAGTTGCCTCGTAGATCCACATTGTATTTACAACACCTGCTATGTCGCATTCTTTTCTGCAATACGTAGATGTGGCTGTTCTGAAGCTACAATTACTCAAGAGTTCACGATCTGGATCTCTGCTTCACTTTCGCTTGTACTGCTCCTCAAAGATCACCTGGTATAATTTTAGTTGTACAATATTGTAGACTATAAAATATTTTTTAATTGACTACTTAGCTATTATTTTTAAATAAGATATTTGTTTCCCTTAATTCTTATTGTAAGTCTAGATTGTTGTATTCAATGAAATTCCTAATTTACATTTGAAGAATCTATTTTGCCAATAAGGATCTTTGCTTTAGATTTTTAGATTTCAGATACTTCTTGTTAACTTCTCATTGCAGAGGGATATTATATGAGGCAAAGAAATTTCTTACTTGTGAGGTTATTTTTACAGTTTCATATGATATCGATACTCCCTGGAGTTCAAAGGTCAGAAAAGAGTTGGAACAACACTTGTTTGGTCACTTGGTCTGCTGAATCTGTTGAATATGTGACTGAGCAAGTCTCAGTTGTGGTTGTAATTGTATAACAATGGGAAACAAGAGTGCAATACATAAATGTGACAACTTAGTTAGAGCTTTGGTTATTCTGCTGCAATGTCTAGATAACGTGATTTGGCTGAAAACTGATTAGTTGATTAAAGACTACAATTACTATAATGTTTATGATATAAAACAGTAATATTTTTGGAATTGTAGTTAATTTAGGTTTCAAAATCATGTTTGATACATAAGATAACGGATAAGATATGATGATAATCATCTCATATTATGTTTTACTTATATTTAAAGAAAATATAGGATTATAAAAAAAATTATCTTTTTGGTATAGGATGGTTTAATCTTTCTAAAATGAAAAAGATTATGTTTAATCAATGAGATTGAATTTATATATCTTATTATATTTTTAAAAATTATATTAATAATTTAAATTATATAAATTTTAAAAAAAATAATTTTAAATAATAAATAAATTATTTTATTATAATTTTTGTACACATAAAATATAAGATAAAATTATATTATTTAATTTAATTTAATTTATAATATTATTTTATTTTATATTATCATAATTTTGTACATCAAACACATCTAAAAATGTTAAATATAAACATGATATGCTGACATATGATTCTAGAATGTTAAATATAAACCTGATGTGCTGACATATGATTCTAGGTTCAGTTCTGAGTTTTAAGGAATTTGTACACTAGGTATCGCATAGAATGCCAGAGATTGCAGTATAACTGTGAATTACATTGGGATAAAAGTGAAAAATGGTAGAGAATTTACTAAAAAAGTTATGACAATATAGTTGATTGGTTTTGCGGTCTTCCCATGTATTTCTATTCCAAGGCTCTGAATGTACTGAAATTCTAGAGAAACTGTGGGATTAAAGGATTATTACAAATGTAATTTAACGTTATATCTATAGTACCAAACTTACTAGTTTTGACTTTTCAATTGACCAATATTGAGCCAACCACGTGTCATCAAATTCTTTCTTCTGTCTTTGCCCCTCTGGACAATCACCTTACCACTCTCACCGAATCCATTCAATGCTTTCACCATTCCGTTGCACTTACCTAAATCATTGAATCCTTCACTTTCAACCATTCACCTTCAACAAACAATCCCAAAATTTTCTTATCTTCTTCCCTTTCTTTCAATTAAAGCTTATCTTCAGGCATTTTTCCAGAAAGAAAATTTTTCTTCTCCCATCGAATACAAAGAAAAAAAAATACCTCCATGTTTTGAAAAACCATTACAAAAACAAAAAAAAAAAAAATTGATGCACCGTGTGGATATTTCGCGGAGGCGCCAGGTAGGATGGTAGTGATATTCCCGACAGTAGTTATTGCTAGGAATAAGAAAGGATCCAGTGTGACACGTGTTCTTGCAAAATATTGATCGAAGGGTGAAGAAGGTTTTCGTTGAGGAGTTTTTGAGCACGAAGTACTTGGTGAAAAGCATGGAGAAACTGGCATTTCAAGATTCCACCCATTACTAACATTAGGAGTCATGATTGTGCTCGATTTTGGTAAAATGCACTCCTTCAGTCTGTTGCTTTTATTTTATTTTTTTTTAAATTTAATTTATTACTACTATTATTTATAGGATTTTTTTTAATTTTAAATTATCATCCCTTAAAAAATAGGGATATCATAATCATGATAACTGATATACTTTAAAATAATTTTTGTTTTTACTGAGGCAACTAGGTTAGGGTTTTTCTTTTTTTTTTTTTAATTACTACAGTATTTTTAAAATAAAAGTTGGCCTTTTTTTATTGATAGTGGAAGCTGATTGATGGAGTTGGATATGGTGATCGTGGTTTTTTTTTTTTTTATTTTCACTTATTTTTGTACTATTTGAAATTGTAATATTTGACTTAATGAAATATCATTGTCCTGTCTGTCCGCATTTGATTGTTTACATACACTAAAAATCTCCAATTTTTTGTGTGAAAATTTAATTTTTTGTAGCTTTATAGTGTTATGGTGGTAGAGTTGCATTGGCATCAACGCACATATAAAGGGATTGGTTGCTGATAAGTTTTGCGGTAAAATGATAGGAATAGGAAAAGGAAGAGGATAGGGGGCAAGAATTATTTTCTCATATGAAAATGTATATGAAATTTGGTGAACTTTATCATCCAAACAATTTGCAATCATAAATTAATTTCTTAATTTATATTGCATCTCAAGTTGATTCTTCATTTTGGTTATTTTTTTGAAATAAAAATTTTATTTCTTACTTTGAAAGCTTCAATCTTAGAATTTAATCCATATTGGAATAATGTCTACATCTAAAATTGTTTAGTGTTTCAGAAAGAAAATTATTAGTTTGCTTGGAACGCTGTGATTTTCAGTTCATTAAAGTTTGTTTCCTTTTAATATAATTCTATTTATTTACCTTTCTACTAACCTTTTACTGACCTTTACAACTAAAATTTGCTTTTGTGACAGTTTCATAAGCATTATTGTAATCTGCTTTCTTACTTTTCAGCCGAATGATATGGAATTAAAACAAAAAGTAAGCTATATCAACAATTTGAAACTTAACTTCTATTAGTACATGTGTTTACTTTTTGATTTATAGTAACATGTGAAAAGTATAATAACTTAAATTTTAACATACAATGTCTATGAAGTTATTACCATCATGCTTCACATGAAAATTTGATCCCTATGTATATGTTTCCTTGTTTATCAAATAAATTCATGTCTATTTTTATGTTTTAATTTGTGCTTCCACTATAAATGAGTTTGTGCTTGCTATGTTATAGAAGTGCACAAGATATCAATAGTGTTAGTTGATTTTCGAACTCTTATGCATTTCTTTTAATCTTTTATTCTGGCAAATATAAATTGTCTTTTATACAACTGTTGCTCACACCATGAAAAATGTAGAGGATTCTCAAACCTTTAACTTATTTTCTTACAACAATTTTTGGCATATATAGAACAAACACTTATTAGTACATCTAGGTAGATTGTTTAAGATAAATTCATAATTGTTCCTCCTAATAGTTTCGAAAATATTGCTAAGTTAACTTCTATAAATATATGTGTTCACTTTTTGAATAATTGACCAATTAGAATTGCCTCCATTGTATGTATATTGGAATTTTGAAACAATAGAAGTTTACCATAATCCATAATACATTATTTCACCTTATTGTTAAGTTAATCCATAATCCATAAATCCTTTTTTTGTTTTCCTTAAGGATTGTTTCCAGAGATTATCTTCAGCCTTTCAAAAAAATTTTTATTGATCCAATGATATGGAATGGGGCCAAAATCTTTTGTTACTCATATTTGCATATAGAAATAGGGAAAGAAGGAACATATGTTTGATTTTAATGGTCCTGTTGCCCTGTTGCCTTTCACAACTTTCTTGATTATATTTTTTGTTTATTAGTAAGTTTAAGAAGTTTCATGTTATTGACTCATTGTGGTTGGGAATGTGCTACAGTTAATACATGGTGCCGCAAAGGATGTAACTTTTGGGTGAGGAATTAATATCTCTTATGTGAGATTTTATGATATTGATTTATGACCATTTATGTAGAGGTCCCCCGTACTATGACCTTGAGACAAAATTCTAAAGTAGGTTTTTCTCTCAATGCATTCAACTATACTACATTGAGAAATCTAATAATGATATTGATGAACTTTATATCTACTGTCAATAATAATTGTTGACGAAAGTTAATTCTATCTTATAATATAATTATTGGAAGGAAAAAAGTTAATTGAGATGGTTAAGCTAAAATTTAACTTAAATAGTATTGATCGTAAATTGATTAGGAAGATCTAACACTAAATTAGTTGGCTTACTAGCAAAGATGAAGGAATAGAAATTCATAACCAATGTCACTTTTATATTTGACTTTTTTTTACGAGAAGTGCCCTGATTTTTTATTAGTTTTTAAGGTAGGCTACAGATCGATTGCTAGATTTCTTGCCCTTGGTTGTTGTGCTTTGCTACTCATACCAGGTTTTAATGTTTAAACTTAACAATTTCATGCATTTCCTTGGCTGAATATGTAAGTGTTCTTTTGTATTTTTTAAAAGTTGATGTCAATACTTTATTTTAACCATCTTTTAGGCCTTTCATAGTTGTAGATTTTATGAGTTTTTTTAACTTTTCTTTCTTTATTGTTATTTATTTTCACTTTTTAGCATTTGAACTTTAAGATAAACTCATCTCTTTCTTGAAATTACAAGGGATAAGTCTGTAGGAATATAAGTGAAATATCACCACATAAATAGCAGAATGAGTTTTGTTTTCTTATGAGACCCACATCCACTTATATGTATGCTTATACTCTTATCATACATGCATCCAAGCATACATGTATGTAAGTCGGGATGGATATTAATGACACTGAAGATCTTACGACATGGTTTATAAGCATAAATTCATATCATTGGCTGAATATATATGCTTATACTCTTACTATATGGGCATTGAATATGGTAGACCATTTATGATTGGAAATTTACCCTTTGATTTATTGAATGATACGATTTTTAGTATTGGAGGTGTTTTGTAGCTTCCACATGAGGTTCTCATCATTGTAAGAAATGCAGATTTTTAATTGTTTTCTAAATGCGTCGAAATTGGTGTTCTAATTATTCCTATGTCATTAATAGTTTCTCTCTGATAGGGTTTGGAGCAAGTTGTGGCAATCAAAGTAATAGCAGATCAATGTGCATTCTATAATTACAGATTTCTAGGGTGGCAGGTGCTTAACTCTCTCATTTTGGTTGGCCTAATTTATTATAGCATTCTACCCTTTGTTTTGGTGCAAATTGTTGATCTTTTGTTATTTTAAAAATCATAAAAAAATAAAAAAAAAAACTATCTTTGCTTGCTCAACCAATTAAATTTCAAATTTTTAATTGATTGAAGGAATAGTTGGCAAAACTATATTTTTGTGTGCAGACAATGTTGGCTACCAGTTAAGATCTTTTGGGTAGTTTGTGACAAATTTAGAGGTTTAATTGTTTTCACAGTCATATTTTAGCTAAAATCTTACTAATTGTACAACATTTGCAGGATACTCTTTACTTGCATTACGGTAGAATATTTTTGCTAAAAGCATACAGGTAAACTTGCTGCCATATTCAATCATAAATGACATATTACAAGTACTGTTTTCACTTTAGGTGTGAATAAATGTTTTTAATCTGCTTCATGAAATTTATGATTCCTCATAAGAAGCCTAAATATGTTTTTTGCTTTTTTAGGTAAATTAACATATAAAAGTGATATCTATGCATTTGGTGTTGTACTGCTGGAACTACTCTTAGGAAGAAAGCCTATAGAAAAACTGGCACCAACCCAGTGCCAATCTATTGTCACATGGGTATGCCTTGCTCTTTTGTTAGTTCACGAAAAAAAGATAGAATGTGTGATTTTAATATTTGTGGTCATTTTACATTAATAGTAGCTTTTGAGAATGTTTTCTAAGCTAAAAATTGCAAGGTTTTGTGGTCATTTTACATTAATATTTGTCAAAAAAGTATATTGTCATTATACATTTGACATTGAATTCCCAGGGCAACACGTGGGCATTCCACTAGTACATCATAAATCTTACTTTTCTTAGTGGGAAATATCAAAGAACTTTGATTTATACGAGGCAGGAGACTCCATTGACCTGAGTCTTGTTTCCTTGGTACTTTGGCCATTTGCAACTCTTCCTCAAATGTGAATTCTAGGATTGAGGATGCATACTAAGACGTTAGAGAATTGGCCGAATAACACTGTTTGAATATTACCATGCTGCTGGGCATTTTAAGGAGATAGATCAGGAATGGTGTATATAGGATGAGTGCTTTCTATATTTATTGTCTTCTAAGTCAGCAATAGTAGCCTGGATTTCCTAATCTGCTTCAGGATTGCATACCGGGGTGTTGAGTTGCGTTCTACACAAGCTTTTCACTTCCTTTGCATGTTATCCCTCCAAAGATCGTTGCTATTGATTTGACTAAAAGCTCATATCCTTCTTATTGGTAACTTTAAGTTGTGGTGAAATAGCATTTTATTGACCATTTTCTAGTATAGTGTTATATTTGCGAGAGGAAGAACTGAAGACCTATTATGTAAAAGGAATGCTTGTGGTTGTTTGTAGTCTTGCTAGTTTCCGTTGATTATTGTTTATGTGACTCACCTACTGCGAAGCACTTAGAAAAACACGGGGGGTTGGGAAGTTAGTCCAAGGTTATTTTGAATTTTATCTCTTCTTTATTGTTTAGTTGGAATTTGAATTGTTTCGGGCTTTGGTTTAGGCTGGAGTCTATTAATTTTTGTAGGCTAGAAGTAATATCAAGGTCAATTTCCTTAAAAGGTTTTTTCAAAGAAAAAGTAACTTCATGAGTTATTCAGGACTACAGAAGAATATAGGGAGATATCTCCATCAAAGCCTCTATTCTCTCGCATCACAATTGCAAAAATTAATTTTGAATATTGATTACATACATAATAGCAAAATTAACATGTTGGATGACCTTTCTCTTTTTAAAATTTTTACTACAATTACATTCTAACGTTGATGAATCATATTATACAAATACATAAACCTTAATTCAATTTCATTTATTAAATATATAAAATATCTGATTATATCAATTGCCCGAGTAACTTACACATTCTTTTCGATTGCAAAATTAAAAGAATCGTGAAGTATGACTTTTAAATTTTGCCTGCCTATAAGAGCTCAAGGATAGCCAAAACTCAAAAATTGAAAACCTTAAATACAAAGTGTCTTGACCGACCTCTTCCAACTCTTTTTATGCTTCATCCACCGTTTATTTCTCACATAAACAATAAAGAGACAGCTTAGAAAAGTACAATTGATGTGAATTATTGGCTAGGAGAACTTTAACAAAATATGTTATACTCTCTTTATGGTTAAGTAAATTATGAAAACAAATAGAAACATTATTACTTTATGAAAGACAAAGTGCATAAATATAGAAAATTTTGAATATGATAAAAAAAAAAAAAAAAACTTATGGATCATCATTAATATGACACAACAAGTTAATGATTTAAATAAATAAAAGCAATTATGATGATTATTGATAATAACAACAGAAAGTTAAGGAAATTAGTATACGACAAATAATCTTCTGCCAAATACATAAAGAATAAAGAATCAATAATGCCTTGCAGTTTGATGCATGCCTGAACAATGTGGTTCGCTTACATAATTCATGACATTTACGAGGCTTTTGATTCATCTTAGTATCATTGGCACCTATGCAATAATGAAACTCACAATTAGCACATTTGCCTTCTAGAAAAGCACTCACAGGAAAGAACGTATACCATCTGAGCTTTTCTTCTCTCTTACACTTGCCAATTAATCCATTTACAGCAGACATGATATAGGTGCCATGCAATTCACTTTCTTTAGCATTAGCCTAATCTTATAGTTTTCTTGCCTAACCCAATACACAGAAGAAATACAAATAATAAAACTTAATCGTGAAGCACACCAATGGCAAGAGGTAAAAGGCATTTGTGGTTCTTGCATTGAAGCCTCTTATTGTAAACTTGAAACATTTATAATTTTATAATATTTCACAGACAACAATTTCAACAAAATTATAAAAAATACAGTACAATACAATACCTCAAAACAAGAGGGCAATTTCCATCACAACAAATATTTTAAAAACTCTAAATCTAAGGTTTACAAAAACAAGGAATGGAGCACAAGAATCATAATAATTAGATTATTTGTGAACAAACAAAGAGGAGAATGGTAATTATTCATAAGATCCTGATACATTCATGAGAAATTAATGATAAGAATTTGCATTAACAAAAGGCATCAAATCATATGAAAAACAAATTTTATAGCACATTTAGCCTACCCCAAACCTTGTTCACTCTTGTTAGTAATCAAACCATGTTAACTCTTGTTAGTAATAAAGGAATCCAAAAAGCACATTGAAAGCTCATAGGATTGGTATGATTTAGATGCTTAAAGCTTTTCTAGAATTGAGAAATCAATGGGTGAGAAACATATCATACTTGCACATCAAAATGAACTTAAACCTATTTCTTATGACATTATAGAATAAATCTATGTCATTTCAAATTTTTGTTATTTATACATAAAGATTAATCAGGCAAGATGAAGCCTAGAATTATGTTATTGAATAATTTACATTCGTGTGCTTACCATGCTTACAACCACACAATGTGGGCACTTACCTGTTTGAAGATCCTAACTTCAGGGACAGATTTTTGTTTTCCAATGTTTCCTTGGCAACCAACTATAAAGTTGAGTACCAAATGTAACACCGAAGGATAATAAACCAAAAGTTTTCCACTCTTCTAAATATTGTCACCTTCAAAGCATCCAAACTAAAGAGTACTTAGCCATATTAGATAAAAAAAAAACATGTTCATCCAAAATAAAAAATGTAATGCTCAAGCTAATAGTCATGAAGTCTACTCCTTAATCATGATAAAGATGCTGGAAGAATATGGAGATTATTTAAGATAATAATCTCTTTGCTTTCTCCTTTGTAGAGCAATAGCAAAATTATATGCAGGTTCATACACAGAATCAACAATTAGTTCATTTAAAAGCAGAAAAAGTGAAAGAGGCCACAAATGCTATCACACATATTCTTTAGGTCCTTCCCCCTGCAAACGCACACAAGCACCCATCCACACAGATCAACTTTTGAGAAAATGAAGTGCCCACAATGTTTTTGGAGTTTTGGCACATATCACCACAATTATGGTGATAGACCATCACCTCTTTCCATTTTAGAACTTAACATTATTTTATACAATTTTGTCAAAACCATGTTATCAGATTTAAGCATATAGTCCGCATCTACTGTTATCTCAACCTTATGGAAAGACAAACATATCAAATAAAACTTAGATGCAAATTATATCAAATAAGACTTCATTCTAAATTATATCAATAAATCAACTTTGATGCAAATTATATACAATAAAACTTCATTCCAAATATAGTATCTTAAACATAAGAGGATGACCAAAAAAGACAAACAAATTTTTTAACCAATCAAAGCACCTTTCTCAGACAGACAAATCCCTTGATGGCTCTGAAAGGTAAGAAAACCCAAAGGATTTTTCATCCCCTAGAAGAAGAGGGCACATTCCTATTTAACTAAGCAAACAAATAAATTAAACTCACTCACAAAAAGCTCTACCCCAAGTTGATTTTCGGCCATTAACCCAAGAAAACCTAAAGGATTTGTCATCCCCCAAGGAAAGTCCCTAAGATCTCTTATGCTTTCACCGTTAACCCTAAATACTCCAACTGATAATAAGGCTCATAATATTAAAAGCTTAAACCTGAAACCTTACAATAATTTTCGGCAATAATAAGGAATGGGCACCGGCTTCCTAAGCGGGCCGCATGGGCCAACTGAGTTGGTTAAGCAGAAAGGACCGAAAAATAGGCTAGGGCATAATGGGTTTTCAGTGACTGGGTGATGGGTATTATAGAAAGGGAACAGAATTAAAGGAAGGAAGGAAGGAAGGAATGGATGAAGGGAGGCCAGCAATTTGGGAAGAGTGGAAAACAAAACAGAACATGAGAGAAGGAGACAAGGAGGAAAGAATAAAAACGCGAAAGAGAATAGAGTTGGGGAGATTAATTTTGGGAAAAAAATTAATGGCTTTTGATGCAGTAAGCGCCACTAAAATTTAATTGATAGTGGCGTTTAAAAGTTAAATGCCATTAAAGTATGGAAAATAGAGGCATTTGTTATTTACAAACACTGCTATTTTTCTTAATAGCGGACACCACAAACATTTCTATTTCATGGTAGGTCGTGGTATTTTTAAGTGAAATGCGGCTAAAAAATGCCACGAAAAGCTAAAATTCTTGTAGTGAGTTGAAAGTGTATTTATTACTTTCAAATAAAGTAATAAAACCTCTAATATTTTTAATGCCCGAAAATATATTTTTTCTTAGATAATAGTTTTGTAAATACATTAGCAAGCACTGAATGTTTCTAAGATATAAAAGGAAAAGAAGCACGAAACTTCAAAATATTGCAGCAGTCAACATTCTATGACTGATAGAAATTTTTCAAGAAAAATAATTTAGCTGAAATTGTTATATATATATATATATATATATATATATATATACACACACAGTATACATGCATATAATTCAGGCAAAGGTAAGTTTCATTCTAGAACTTGCAAGTTACTATGTAGGTGTGTGGAAGGGAAGAGAAATACATAAAAGAAGAAGAGAATGAGAAATGAGTGTATAAAGGGTTGAAAGTTAATTTGTTAAAAATTAATTAAGTAGTTTGATTAAGGGATATTTTTACGATAAAAAAAATGGGTGTATGAAGAGCAATTGATGGGTTGCAAAAGATCTAGTTGAAAATTTAAAAATATCTAATGGTTAATTTTGTAGAGAATATGAAAGAAGAAAGTGTCCACGTGGCATCTCTCCCTTCCTCCATTCTCTATTTTTAAAATTTATTTTTATTATTTTTATTAATTAATTTTTTATTATATAAATTTTATAAAAAAAAGTCAATAAATGTTGTGATGATCAAGTAATTCGTATTCAATTGATTTAGATTCACATTAATTTAACGTAGGTGTTTTTTTTTTT